ATTGAGACATTGAAATGTGTATTCAATCCATAATATTTCTCCATTTTAATCGATGATTTGCTGCCAATTCGTGCCGGCAATTCTATAATTCCCTTCTTGTAAAACTTCTGGGACTTCTGAGCAAAAAGATTATCCAGGTGCTTTTTGATGTCCTCCATAAAAATGAATGATTTTCTCTGAAGATTATTGTGTAGAGTGCGAAACAAATGTGTATCCGATGGAGCAATATTGGGAGAATATGGTGGATGTGGCAAAACATCCCAACCTAAGCATAAAAGTTTTTGACGAGTCTGTAAAGATGTATGTGGTTTCGCGTTATCGTAATGAAACACAACACCTTTTCTGTTCAGTAATGCCGACCGCTTTTCTGCAATAGCGCACTTCAATTTCTCTAATTGGGCACAGTATTTATCAGAATTGACGGTCTGACCTTGTGGGAGCAGCTCGTAATAAATTACTCCAAAGTAATTCCACCAAATCGATAGTAGCACCTTTTTTGGATGCAAATTAATTTTGGTCACCATCCCCAAGCGTTTCAAGTGGTCAATGACGGTTGAATGGTGTATATTTAAATTTTCGTTCTGTGATCTCTCACATCGTGAGATATCGGTCATTCGACACCATGGCCAAGAATTGTTCATCGACATCCGCGGATGGCTGTCCAAAGCGAACAGCATCGGTCACATCCAAATTTTTAAAACGGAAACGCGCGTTCTACTTTCGACTTGTGCGTTTACTAATGGCATTTTCCCCATACACAGTACATATCTTTCGACGAGCATCCGCAGCGTTTTTACCTTTCCGATAATAATATAATAAAATGTATCGAAAATGTTCTTTTTTGTAGTCCATATTTACACGATTGCAACACACACACACAACGCAACTCTGTGCAATTAAAATATTTTAAAATGTTAAGCACAGTGTCCTCTTTCAAATGATATATAAGTAGTAATACTAGGCCGGTTCTAACCCAGGAGCTCCGAGCGAGGTGCGGGTGTGCGGGGTAACTCGGGGACGCGGGGGTAAAGGAGAGGGGGTAACTGGTAGGCACGGGGAAGGGAGAATGCTTTGTCGATGATCCTTTGGAATGTACTTTTAGGGGGAAGGGGGAGGGGGTCTTTTTTGTCTAGGAAGAGCTGCTAGAAAAGATATTTTTTGTAGAAATTGACATAGGAAAAAAAAGCGCCGTTATTCCGGCTGCAATAAATGTACGTGTCGCAACATGTTTATTTCGAACAATCTCGAAAATCCGTTATTCAATGAAAATAATGTATTAGTCGGTAAATGGACACTTTTCCTTAATTTTTTCTTGTTTTTTTAGTAATAATACTGAATGTGCTCATTTCTATTTGATCAAGTTCTCACGTAGAA